TTAGGGCTTTAGGCTTTCAGGGTTTAGGGTTTAGGGCTTAGGGTTTAGGGTTTAGGGTTTAGGATTTCGAGTTTAGGGTTTTAGGGTTTAGGGTTTAGGGCTTTAGGGTTTTAGGTTTTTTAGAGTTTTTTTAGGGTTTAGGGTTTAGGATATAGGGCTCAGGGTTTGGACTTGCTGTTTGCGTTAATGGTTCAGGCTTTGGGCTCTGGCGTTGAGACTGTTTTCTTTGGGGTCGGGGTTAAGGGTTAGACGGCATTGCAAAAGGCACCCGAAACTGTAGGATGGCTGAGGTTTTGAGACACTGCACCTTAATCTGCCAGAACCTGCTTCGCTGTGGGGCTTTAGCATGAAGTCAGCAAGAAGATGAAACCTGAAAACCCTAAACCCCAAACCCCACGAATAGCACTGTATCTTCTGGTAGCTTCAAGGACACTAGAAGCGTGAAGTTCCTTAGTCACACGGTTTTAGGGTTTGGGGTGTAGGGATGTAAGGTTTAGGGTTTAGGGATTAGGGGTTTCGGGTTAACCAAGACGGGTTGTCGGTTGACGGTTGTAGCGTTTAGGGTTTAGGGTTTTGGGGGCTTCAAGATTTGCGAGTTAGTGATGAACCTTATTGAGCGCATTGCTGAGGGCCCGGACGAGACTCAATAGCAATAAGAGTTACCCTAAACCCTAAACCCTAAACCCTAAACCCTAAGCCTGGAAAGAGATACGAGGATGCTTTCCCCAAGCTTCTGGAGGCTGTCCCTGAAGGATTGCAAGGAGGGTCCAGGAAGGCTTGGGCCATCCCCGAGTATCAGGAACTTAATTCTGAACCAATCTGAACCGCTCCCGAAAACCCACGTCACCCAAACCCCCACGCACCAAACACTAAGCACCAGAATCCCGTTTAAGCAGGAAAAACCTAAAGCCCGATCCGTGAACCCCTTAAACTTCGAACCCAAACACCAGACTCCGAACCCCTAAATCGCAAAACCCTTAATGTAGGGGCCTTAATAAGTAGAATGGGGTTTTACAGTATATTGGACTGTAATTATGAATAAGGAACCCCACAAAAATAGTATAGGTATTTATTATGGCCCCTACATTAGACCCAAACCCAAACCGCTAGAACCCTCCTTGCGAGCCTCCGCTGCCAATGTTTCTGCAGCGAACTTGCGAAAAGCCTCCTGGCCGATGGAGTGTTTAGGATTTACGGTTTAGGAGTTCCTTTTTTAAGGGAAGGCTTTTGAAAGGGCTTTACAAGGGTCCTGCAACAAGAGTTCCAGAGGTTTCGACAAGGGTTCGTATCATGATGCCAAAGCACGAAACTTGAAACCGCCGACAAAGAAAGAACTGACGCGATCACTTCTGAACCGATCTATCCTGCAAGTTCATCCCTGGCCGTCCTCGGGCTCGCCCATGAGATCCTGAAACTGCGCCCGTATGGCTCCACTTTGCTGACGCGGATCCATGCAGCTCGATTCGACCAACAGCTTGCTGGCTCTAAGCGCTTATATCACGAACAAGGGCCGAAGAAACGAAGTGCGGTCGAGGGGGTTGGCTTCAGCGCAGACAAGTTATGCTGGTACTACAGCTAATACTCATGACGCATATCCATCTGTACTCATCCCAACAGCAACGTACGTGGCTGGGTGCCGGACCTCAAGTCGTTGGGCTTTTACCGGCTGAACGACCTGCCAAAGCGACAATTTAGGGTTTTGGATTCAGGCGTCGAAGGTTCAGGGTTGAGCGATGCTGTTGCTGGGCCTTTGTATACCCGGTAACTGTCTAGAGTCTTGTCTTGCTACTAGTTTAGTGTGACGGTTGCTGGGTGGAGGTATGACAATTCTCACTACGAGCAGTCTGTTGTTATTCGCACTGTTACTAAACCTGACATTCCTAGTCGTCGTCGCAGTCGTCGTCGTGGTGGTCGCACCGTAGTAGTCGTCGTAGTAGTCGTCGTAGTAGTAGTCGTAGTAGTCATCGTCGTCGAAGTCGTCCTCGTAGTAGTACTAATAGTGGTAGTAGTAGTAGTAGTAGTAGTAGTAGTGCTAGTAGTAGTAGTAATAGGTAGTAGTGGTAGTAGTAGTACTAGTAGTAGTAGTAGTAGTAGTAGTAGTAGTGGTAGTAGTAGTAGTAGTAGTAGTAGTAGTAGTAATACCAGTAGTAATAGTAGTAGTAGTAGTAGTAGTGACAATAAAAATAATAATAATAGTGGTAGTTAATGTAGTACTACTAGTAGTAGCAGTAGCCGTAGCCGTAGCAGTAGCAGTAGCAGTAGCAATGGTAGTAGTAGCAGTAGCAATAGCAGTAGTAGTAGTAGTAGTAGTAGTAGTAGTAGTAGTACTAGTGGTACTAGTAGTACTAGTAGTACTAGTAGTACTAGTAGTACTAGCAGTACTAGTAGTACTAGTGGTATTAGTAGTACTAGTAGTACTAGTAGTACTAGTAGTGCTGGTAGTCGTACTGGTAGTCGTACTG